ATATTTATATATTTCTCACACCTTTATTTATAATTCCCATTTGTATATGTCTCAGAGAAAATATATCACTGTTTTCTCTTAATGTTTTTTTAATTTTACATGATTGGAATTCAGATGTGTGAGTTCTTTGCCTCAGTGTTAAGCTTACAAGCACTATCTATATTAATACTGATAGTTACAATATTTTTCTGGGTGAATTTTTCAAAATAGTATTAAAATCCGATGCACTGTAAGAAGTATCATCTTTTGTAATGTGAAATTGAAATTCTGTCTTATTGCTTATTTGTACATTCTCTTACAAAAGTACAGTCTAAGCCAGGTGGGGTTATCAGCACTTGATAGGCTGAGGCAGGAGGATTGTTGTAAGTTTGAGACCAGCCCAGGCTATATAGTGAGTTCCAGGTCAGTCTCAACTACATAGTGAGAAACTGTCTCAAAAAAAAAAAAAAAAAAAAAAGAAAGAAAGTACAGTCCTTTGCATACAAAATGTGATAATAACATCTTTATAAATCAGTCCTGATATAATTATATAATGTATATAGTTATATAAAGATGTACATATATAAAATATATATGGTGGAAAGTGAAATGTTCTTTTTCCCATATTCTAATTAGGTTTTTCTCTACAGTTTTTTAAATAGTCAAATTACTGTGCATTCAGTTCTTACAAAACATTTATTACTCATCTGGGACATAAGGATACAAAGAAACAAGGAGGAGAAAACAATTCCTTCTGTTATTCTGGGAGGTGGTTCAGTAGCTTCATATGGTGGCTGAGCCTGAGCTGTGAGTTCAAAACCCCTGGATATAACTCCAGTTCAGCTTTATAATGGTCATATGGCCAAGTTACTTGACCTTTCTTTGCATATAACTTTACATTGATAAAATAGAAATAAATGCTACTTAACTGATGAGGACTTTATGATCATCAGATTACATTTTATTATAATAGTAAGCATGGTTTGAGCCTTAGAATTTATGTGTAATATATATTAGCAATTTGTTCTTTTGCCATTGATTTATTACTATGTTAACAGAAATCTTTTGTGTATATTTACTTGTATAACTCTTAGGATTTCATCTTTTACTGTTTTTTGTTTTTTGGTTTTTTTTTTGTACTGGGGATCAAACTCAGGACCTTGCACTTGTGAGGCAGTAGGTGAAACCACTGAGCTAACTCCCCGGTCCTCTTTGTTACTTATTTCATTCTTATAAAACTAAAAGAAACTAAATATGTACTTTGATTTCTATATGCTAAAACTGACGTTCAAGAACTATAAGTAGCCTGTCCAAGGTCACATAGTTATAGTCAGAAAAACCTAAATTTAATCTAGAAATTGTTAACATTAAAGTCTGTTATTTTCATTCTCTTCACCCAGTTTCTTTAAGTAGTACCCCTTTAATAAATCCTTTATGAATGTTTCCATAAAGAGTTGGCAATGACAACATTTCTTCTACTATACTTACTAGAGTGGAAGGAAAATAGGAAGAGTTTACATTTATGTAGCAGTTACCTAGCATATAGGGACAATTCTATGTGCTTTGATGATTTTCTCCTGCATTTGTCTTGGTGTGTGTCACAGTGATTATATTTCTAATTTTTGTCAGAACATTAACCTGTTTTCATCAGTAACTCATGAACATGTTTCGGCCACTACTGATCTGAGCATATTTTTATCATCTAGCACAACTCCTCGCATGTAGAAAGTGTACAATCATCATTACTATTAAATAAAAGAATGTTTTATGATTAGTGGCAGCTTTTGTGTTGGTGATGCAGAATGAGAAAAAGAGAAAGACTTTGAATATCAGAAAACAGTGCAGTTCTTTCCTGCAACTCTTTTTTTTTTGAACCAGGGATCTTGTGCTTGCAAAGCAGGTGTTGGAACCACTGAGCTAAATCCCTGGCCCTTCTGCAATTCTTAAAGCCATGAACTCAGCAATGTGAGAATTTTGGTACAGAATTCTTTTCCTAACTTTTCATGATAATATTTTTCCTTTATATTGAAGGAAAACTATGAATTTCCCAATGATAGGCACCACACAGGCTACTTATACAAACTAAAAGTACTTTGATTTATTTCCAAATTGTGATTTATTTTATTGACCCTACTCGCATTACAGAGATCAGTCCATATTTTACATGCATTATAAATTCAAAATATTGGAAAGCATTTTGATCTACAGAGATCAGATTTGGGTAAAGTGGCCGTCTCTGTTTTCCATCCACTTGAGAGCATCAGCTAAGTATTTTTCTTGGGCATAAGCAGACTTCTGGAAAATGGAAAGTGGCTCTTTATTATAGCATTGGGCTGTTTTATCGAGAATAAAATTAGCTACTTTTTCTAGTCATTTTCATTCAAGCCTTGCTTACTGCCTGCCTTTTCTGATTTCTCTGGGCTTGCTGTCTTCATTGTTTTTGCTCTGCCATAGGCTTCTCTTTGTTGCTGGCTCCTACATTCTGTCTGTTATAGGCTGATGATTATGAGGAGAATGAGGATGATGACTATGGTCATATGTCTCCCTATTTGTAGACATTTTACAGGTGCAAATTTGTAGTCTTTATTTTAGACATGGACCGCGAATGTTTGCATAGGAGAAAACATACTGTTTTTCTTTCCATTCCCTGTAGAAAGAGAGATGGACCAAATTGATGCTCTTCCTAGCATTGTTCCTTTAGTGATGCACTATTGAATTATTGCATTTCAGGGAGTTTAAATTTCTGTTGCTTATATTTGTAATTATTGTAGGTTATATTAAGAATTTAGATTTTCTCCTACCTAATTCTACTTTGATATCCTCATACTCAACACATTATGAAAATTTTAGATTTCTACTTTTAAATAAAATTCTTTCTTCATATGAAATACTTCTGTGAGAGGTTAAATTGATACAAATTCTATAACATTAAAAATATGGTAGGTTATTCTGTGTGTGTGCGGTGTGTGTGTGTGTGTGTGTGTGTGTGTGTGTGTGTGTAATACTCAGAACTGAACTCATGGTCTTTGCACTGATCTACATCCCTAGGCTTTTTTTTTTGAGACAAAGTCTTGCTAAGGTGCCAAGTTGCTAAGGCATGGAGTAAACTTGTGATCTTTCTGCCTCAGCTCCCCAGAGTGCAGAGATGACTGGTATGCACCGTCATGCCCACCTCAAACTTCTGCTGTAGGAAGAAAGAATACTAACCTGATAGATAAAAATGATGAAGTCTCCTGTGCAATTTAATTGAAATTTATTAGGTTAGGAATAATATATGAATACAAAATTAGAAACTACCAAGGATATAACAAAACAATAGAAATACCAATATATTGTAGACAAAGTAACTGGATGGTTAATTTAACCAGACTGTGATTCAGTATATTTTTGCATAAATTTATCAGTCAGGTGTGGCTGTCTTTACAAGCTTTACGTCTCTCAGGCAATATGCTTTTACATGCACAAGAAAGGCATCACTCCGGTCATCTCTGAACTTTGTAGTTCTCAGACCTCTACTACCCTGCAAGGCTGATATCATTTTTTGGTTTATTGAGTAGAAACCAATGTGATCATGCCTTATCCAATGGGGACTTGCTCCTTCCAATATAAATGACAGAGAGGAAACACTGAAAAAACTGGCGGTTGTTCTTTTACTCTAGCCCTGAGCCATAAATTTAGATGTTTCACTCTGGTTTTATAAATGTAATGACATAGACTTGTGTGTGTGTGTTCTATCTTATTTGGGCGGGGAAAAAAAGATTTAATGAGCTTCACATCCAAGATATTTTAAGAAATAGAAAAACATTACTTGTACATTCACATATTTTCTGTTTAACATGGATCTCTCACTCTGGTATTTTTGCAAATACTGTTTTTTTTTGTGTTTGTTTGTTTGTTTGTTTTTGGCTTTTTGAGACAGGGTCTCACTATATAGTTGAGACTGACCTGGAACTCATTATGTAGCCCAGTCTGGTCTCGAACTCACACTGATCCTCCTGCCTCAGCCTCGTGAGTGCTGGGATTACAGGTGTGCGTCACCACACCCAGCCTGCAAATACTATTATGGCATTTAAAAATACTGCCTATGTTTTTCTTTGATGAATATTAGCATAATTAAATGCACATTTTGTCTTAAAGCTTTTTCCAGGCACTGAAAACAATAGTGTTTTCTTAGAAATGTATACTCTAAAAGAATGATAGCTCAGAACCATTGCCACACCCAGAGTAAAAGTGTTTAGGATCCAAAATAGTTCATATTGATGGTCATATGAATCAGTTATGATGACTTTTGCACAGTACTGAAGCGAAGCATTATTTTAAAATGAAAGTGTTCTAAGAAAGGATATTTGAATGAGCTCAGATAAAAATCACTTTTTTGGGGGGTACTGGGGATCGAACTCAGGTCTTTGTGCTTGCGAGGCAGGCAGTTGAACAAGGCAGTTGAACCAGAACTAAATCCCAGGCCCTAAAATCTCTTAGTTTTTTTTAATAGGTACATATCACTCTTCACTTTATTTCTTTGTTTAGCCTTATTGGTATTCTTAAAGTGCTAGGAAATATCAGCTCTGTATATCACATTGACAATATATAAAGTATTCAGCCTAAACCTGTCGCAGCTGTGTTTTTAAAGGAAGCAGATAGATACTGTATGCTGTAGCGTTTCTGCCCAAAAGAGAGTCCAGTTTACACATTCTGCAGTATGCAAATGTCATATCGTCTCTGGGAATGTTTTATCCTGAGTGGCTGCTACAGGGTTGGAGACTTCTGCCTGTGATTTAGGTTGAAATTTTATTTGTAGAAATAAACCAATCACAGAGCCCCAACTGTCTCAGCGATGAGGTGATCAATAGCCCATTACTGGAGAGAACAGCAGCTACAGGAAGTGCATTGAAGATTTTAATGCATGAATTATGCATGCCATGCTCATTCTTTAGTCTCCAAACAGAATGACAGGGTTTGTGAAGTCGCCTCAGATAGTTTCTTGCATTAAGTGACTGCAGTGAGATGTTTAATATTTTCAGGCATAGAAGCATCATTGACTCGGACCAGCCGAATTTGGAAGATGTAAATTCCCCAGCTCGCTACACAGAATGCTTCATTTGAAAGTGTTGCTATGTAGAGAGCCAGCTTTGCGGTCATCTAACCTGTTCTCTCCAGAAGGTTGGCTGAAGGATGGGAGCGGCTGTGCCTGCCGCTGAGGTCACAGCTTGAAGTCCTTTGAAAGTGCCTTCTGCTGCAGGAGCGAGGCGTATTGTGGTCTAACCGTCTTTGTATTTATTGAAACGGACAATCTGCGATAGATATTATACCCAGAACGACAGATAATTCAACATATGAGGTAAGCCGGAGGTTTTGCTTAGGTAATTGTAAACTAGAATGTGCTGAGTCGGGATAATGGTGTTCCGGTAATGGTAAGGTTGACTCAGACTTTAGTCTGGTAAAGCAGCAGCTGAGCTTCCAATTGTTATGTTAATCTAGAGGTGACTTTACTTTATTTGACAGTATTAAACTGAATGATATTTTATTTTGCGTGCAAAAGGTTTTCAATAATGTACCAGTGCCCAGAGGTGTGCATCTTTGAGGGAATGCTACAAACTAGGGAGGGGCAGCAGGAGAGTGAGTGGAATTAGTAAGTGACAGTTGCCTCCTGGTGGAGAAGTTTTAGTAGGTCTGTGGCTTTGCTTCTGCTCAGATTATTTACTTACTATCAACATCTTCAAATTCTACCAAAAGATAATCATAGAAACCTAAAATGCTCTTTCCTTCTCCCAAAAGTGGGCGATGGCACAGAGATACTCAAAGCCCGTGTTGCATACAAATTGAGCAGGTGGAATTGAAACAATTTAGACTACTATGTCCTTGAGGAAAGACCTTGTCAGTAACAAAGCAGTTTGACTTTTTACATGTAGTGGCTTTGAGAGGGTCCCCGCCCCACATGTAAGAATGCTTTTCTCCAAAATCAATAGATAGATGGATGGAATATTATTGTGAAATCTATGGAAAAAGAGGGGTTTTATTTCTTGGCATTTTAAGAATTAAACTTAAGCAATTGTAGAAGCCACTACAGTAAGAACCAGCTAAAATTTCCAAAAACTCTGCAAACCTGAGAATATAGTGCTATGCTACTTTATTGGTCAGAGGTCTTTGTGTATTTGCAGCTGATTGCTTAAATCTCACAGAAAATAATAAGTATGCGGATAAATTTTCAGCATGATAGGAATTCCTGAGCATTTCTTTAGGGTGAGAAAATAGTATTAACAAATGTTCATCAACAGTCTCTAGGGTCAGTAAAATTCTATAAGGATGTTTTTTAAACAGTAAATTTATGTTATTAGTACACACAGCATATATATCATATCTGCTGTACTCCATAATTTATAAAATATGTGTAATATCTGTGTATATCTCTACTTCCCTAAGTGTGTTTACTATGTTAAAAATGTTTGTTAAATCATCTCTCAGTAAGCAATGATACAAAAAGCCAATTATGTTTTGTAAAAAGTAAGCATCCATTTTATTACTACACTTCATTTTAGCCAAAAGACTGAGAAGCATCTAAATTTTTTTTTTAATTTAAAAACAAAGGAGAATTTAGCAGTGAAAATGAGAGCCCAGCAAAACTACTCTGGAGCATTTCACAGTGCATTTCAATAGTGCTACAGTGTTACTACATCACTTGGGTTTTCTGTCTACCGCTGGATCTTGTGTGGCACAGAACTCCCGGGATTATCTAGTGTGGTTAGATCATCAGAGCTCATCTAGTTCAGGAGTATGAGGAAACCCACACGTGGAGTTTTTCCTTAGGGTGGAGAGGCAGGGCTACCTATACACAGTATCCTGGCGTTTCCTGGTGCTGAGTCATGGCTCTGCTCAAATAACCTCCCGTCTGAGGTGGCTCATTCAAAGCTAGTAAAATGGAATCTACAGGGAAACGAGAGAGAGTGTGGAGGAGGGCAGGAACTTAAGGGTATTTATTGCCTAATGACACATACTGGATCCTGAGTAATAAGAATGAGAGTGCTACGTGTTGGACCTGGCAGAGGTAACGGTAAGAGAATAAAAGATCCCGTGCCAGGTGACAAGATCACGCAGTAAATTAATGGGCTGACATGGAGAGGTTGTACAAACAAAGGGGTCCGTGAAGCATTCTGCTGGTACTGTTTGAACTTCTCTGTCTTCTTTCTAGTCTCAGCCCAAACCATCAATTCATCTCATTTAGAACACTTGGTGGTCACAAAAGAGCGGTTCCTGTATCATGGGAGGGTAGTGTGGAAGGGATTTTCTCAGTTCCCAATTCCCCCAGTAGCTATAATTAATTTCCCCAGACTATCACTTGGGAGAACTAGCAAGAAATTAATGATGATTTTTGATATCAACCTTGCTGTGTGAGGGGGAGCACCAAAATGAATTTAACTTGTGATTACTTTGGCAAGGTATAATCATATGAGATACAATTGGAAAATGAACCTAAAGATATCAAGAGAAATAAAGAGGATAAATATAATGAGAAATATAACAGTGAAACATCAAATACAAGATATTTTAAAGAGAATATACTTAATCCATCTTTAATGTACATTTTAGTATCTCTTAAAAATGAATGTGGAAGAGCTTCATACATTCTCTTACTAGGAATACATTTTTTACTCCATTGTTGTTTCTTAAGATCTCTTTCCTCACAAGACGAGCCAGTGTAGTGCAAAAACGTGTGTTAAGGTTCTTCCTGTGTGGTTTTGCAAGGTCTGCTGGTTCTGTAGATGCAAGAATAGGGGATGGGCCTGTGCTTTCAGTGGGGACAAATAAGTCAAATACATCGGGTAAAGAGATAAAAAAAGAGAGTCAGCCAAATCAAAAGTCATAGGAGAAATGGGCCCATACTCAAAATTTTAGAGTGCAAGAACACTATTCTTAGGAGCGTAGGAGGCTGATGCTACATGTTCTAAAGTGAGGACAGAAACGGAGGGACTGGATGGCTGTCGTTGGAAATAAGCAAAAGAAGCACATATTAAGAACTGCTAGAATAACAGGCTAAGGCATGACTTACAAGTCTTGGGCATCCACAGACATATCGAATACTTTCACTGGAGGCATTTAATGCTTAAGAAGTTTCTGGTCCCTCAATCAGATATCTCTCAACATGTCTTTTTAATGATTGCAAATCCTACATTAAATATTCTGTGAACCATGCCTTCTATTTCCTGTCTTCTGATGGTTTAACTTTATTGATTCTGGGGAGACTGCCCCTCCCAGGCTTGACCTGTTATTAGTTACTAAACACTTTGTACTTGAGAGCTCCTTTTTCAAATCCCAACCAGCCAACCCAGAGCCCACACCAACAACCCTAACTTCTTTATCTGGGCTCTCAACACCCAGCCACACTCTACTTCTAGTCATTTCTGAGACACGTAGCAAATAACTGGTGAGAGTTCCTATGTTCCAGAGCCTCCTGAAAATAAATTATTCAAAGTAACCAATCTGGAACACCTGTCTGGGCTCACCATTCCTTCCTGTTCTGCTCCCTGTTTTCCCTCCAGACCGTCTCTGCACACACGCTGTCTAGTATAACCTTTCCTCTAGGATCTGTGATGTAGGAAGCTGTCTTTTCAATGGTAGTTATCTCCAGATCTGTCTCCTTATCAAACCTAAGTGATAGAACCTATGTTAAACATGAAATAATCTGTTTACATACGAAGTATCATAAGCAGAAGGAATATATTCCCAGTACTCAAGTCCTCTACCTTCAAAATAATTACATTCTTATTAAACTGGGCACTTCTTTTGAATTTAAGGGAAAATTCTGAATGAACCTCTTATAAACGCAAACTTAACTGTTATCACAGTGGAAGTTTTTCATCTTATGACAAGGTACATGGGTCTAAATTTTTGAATGTTTTCCTGAGACTACTTTAACTTAGAGTATGCCATATTTACAACATGAAAACAAACCTTTAGTTTGGAAAGCAACTATATTGATACAACCTAGGTGTCAATATTTTGAAACTGCAATTATCAAATGCCAGTGTTGTTTACATAATGTCTTTGATATCCAGTAGGCAACATAAAACATACCTTAATTTAAAAACATTTCTGCTACCTCTAGCCTACAAAATTGAATTGAACTTCTTGCGAATGGGGTGACCAAAAAAAAATGTTGTTGCTAATCAGTGAATGCAAAACTTTGGAACAGTGAACCAAATGCAATTGAACTGTATAAGTAACAAGAACTGGACCACAGATAGAGCAGGGAACTGAAGAATATATACCGAAAAGACATTTGATGGATCTTTCTGCAGTGTCCTCCTTTTTTTTCAAATCATCATTGTCAAGGGAAGTTGAAAACAATCTCCACTTTAAGGTGGAGAATAATGCAAACATCAGATGATGTATGTTGAGTGTTGATGACCTTTACCTTCTCTTTCTACACTGAGATTATGTTATAATTATAACAAGTTATAATTACAACTTATATATATATTATATATTATCAATTATATATATGATATATTATATTGCAATTAAAATAGCCCTTGTAGAAATACACTTTTGATAAGATTCTGTACAAAATTAGCGATGATTTCAGTTTGGAATAGGTTAGAAAAAGTACTAGTCATGCTAGCAGATGGACGGACAGCAAGGTAGGTGGCTGGGCGGGAAGCTGGAGGTGGACCTGCGCCAGAAAGAACGAGGGAGTTTAACAGATGGAAGATGATACATTAGTTGGCAAGAAATGGCACTGGGTGACAAGCAGGAGAATGTATTGAAAAGCTGGGTGGGTAGGCAGCCAAGAGGTGGATTTGATGCACCCATAATAAAAGATGTAGGTCAATATGAGGGCACTCGAGTTCTGGAAAACACAGGTAAGAATAGGAGGAAACAATTTCAATTTGCTCCTTCACTTGAGTGTGGGGGAAAAGACACTTATGCTCTTTAAAATGCTTTGAAATGGTGATGAACAAAGAATTACAGAGGGAATATTTTAGTATAAAATTCAGAGATGCTTACCAATGAAGAAATTTGTTTTGTAAAATTAGCATGAGACAAAAATTTATTACCTAGACTTTTTGTTTTTTATCCTTTGAGTTATGGCCCTGTTTATGTTAATCTATGAGAATCTCACTAGATAATAATACTGAAGTAAAATGAAAGTGCAGAATGAGAGCTTTAACTTCTATCAAAGATAATTTATTAGGTGATAGAAAATTTGAATACAACCTTACCTTTATTGTGAAAATGCCTTATATTCTCTATGTCTATTGAAAGCGATAATAATACCATCTCAATTAACATAATGAAATGATTCCAAGACATTTGGTCTTTCTGCTTTCAGATTCACCTACC